CTAGATTTTAGTCCTTTTCCTTTTTTTAATGGTGGAGGTGACCTTGTGGGTTGTCTTCATATTACTGAATTATTTAAGAGTTCCCAAGCTGGCCAAGCGTGGTGGCTCATGCCTGTAATCCCAGCACTTTGGGAGGCCCAGGCAGGCGGTCACGTGAGGTCAGAAGTTCAAGACCAGCCCTGGCCAATATGGTGTGAAAACCCCCGTCTCTACCAAAATTATTAAAAAATTGGCTGGGCATGGGTGGCGGGCTGTAGGTCCCCAGCTACTTCAGGAGGCTGAGGCAGAGAATTCTTGAAGCGCCGGGAGGCAACAAGGTTTGCAAGTGAGCTGAGATCATTGCCACATGCACATTCCAGCAGCTGCGAGGTGACAGAGCGAGACTCTAAATATTTAAACAGACGAGTCACAAAAGATATGTGAATGGCTAAACAAGCACATGAAAAAACGATTAACATCACTAATGATCAGAGAATAAAAATTAAAATAATAATGAAATGCCATTATTTACTAGAATGGCTAAAGTTTTAAGAAGATTTAAAACACTGACAGTATCAAGTGCTTGCAAGGATGTGGAAAAACTGGAACTCTCAAATACTGTTGATAAGGAATGGTACAGCATTTGGAAAAACCATATAGCAGTAGCTTAGAAAGTAAAACATATATTTACCATACAATCCAGCCATTCCAACCTTAGGTATTTGCCCGAGAAAATGAACACATTTGTCCACACAGAAACTTACAGCTAGTGGTCAGGAATGGAGGGTAAGAGAACAAGGGGGGATACTTGAGGTAATGAAAGTTTTCAGTATCTTGACTTTATCAATATGAATTAAATATGAATATCCAGTTGTGATACTGTACTTTATTTTTGCAAGATGTTATCACTGAGGAAACTATGTAAAGACTATTTAGGATCTCTATGTGCCATTTCTTACAACTGCATGTATCTTAAAAAGTTTAACTAAAAAAAAAAAAAAAACTTGTCCGCAAATGTTGTAGCATTATATCATTCATAGTAGTCCCAAACCGAAAGCAACTCAAATATCCATGAAGCGGTGAGTGATTAAACAGTTTATGGTATATTCAATCCATGGAATATCATTTAGTGGTAAAAGGGAACAAAATATTAATATACATAAAACAACATGGATGACTCTCAAAAATATTATGCTTCATCCACGTTAAATGAGAGAAATAAAACACCAAAGATTACACAGTACATAATTCCATTCACATGAAGTGTAGTGACAGAAAGTAGATCAGTGACTGCCCAGAGCAGGGCTGTGGGGGAAGGATCAAGTACAAAGGGGAAGGAGGTAACTTTTTAGTATGAGAGGCTATGGCTCCTTCTACAGTTTGATTACATGATTGCACATGATTACCAACATTCACACTACATACATATAATTGGAGAATTTTATAACATTTAAATAATACCTTAAATACAGGAAAGCAAAAAATTAAGGCTTAGAAAATAAATACCTGTTAGCGTTCTTCCAGCATTCAGAGGAGGAGCAATGACTCTGAAAAGTTTCTGCATTAAAAGTAATAGGAAAACAATCACCATCATCTCAAATGATATTATTTAAAAAATAATCAAGAATCTTATGCTATTCATCACCATTCGCTGACAGAATTAGTCATTTACCACTAGGATTAAACATGAAAACCTTTAATCTGTACATGAAATGTTTAGAAGGGTCACTGAGAAACAATCACTGTTGTCATAATAAGCCAATTCTGAAAAAGAAAAACAATATTGTAGGACTTAAAATATTGATTTTGAGACTTACTATGAAGTTACAAGAAGCAAGACAGTGTATTACTGGACAAGGATAGACATATAGCTCAATAGAACTGAAGAGAGCACAGAAACACACCCACAGTTACACGGTCACTTGACTCTTCATAAAGGTGTCAAGGTAATTCAATGGAAATAAGATAATCTCAGCAATAAATGGTAAGACTTACAGGAACAACTGATAGCTGTATGGAAAAAAATCCTTGAACTTCACCTTGCATCATTTATAAACATTAACTCAAAATGAATTATAGACCTAAATACAAGAGGTTAAAACTATTAAATTTCTACAAGAAAATGTGGGAGAAAATATGTATGTCACTAAATTGAACCAAGATTTCTTAAACAGACTACCAAAAGCCTAAATGACAAAAAAAATTAATAAGATGAACTTCATGAAAATTAAAAAATTTTGCTCTTTGAAAAACATGGCTAAGAAAACAAAAAAGCAAGCTATGGATGAGGATTAAAATTTTTGCCAAACATACTGGAAAAGGGCTTATATCCGGACTACATAAAAACCTCTTCCAGACTCTGATGGTAAGCTCACTACCGCGGGCGCTCTGTAGTCCAGCTCTTCAGGAGGCCCCTGAGCCAGAGAAATTGCTTGAACCCGGGAGGCAGAGGTTGCAGTGAGCTGAGATCATGCCATTGCACTCCAGCAAGCGCTGTGAACAGGAGCGAGACGCTGTCTCAATAAAAAAAAAAAAAAAAAAAAAAACAGAGTGTGCCAC